TAGGGTTTTAGGGTTAAAGGTTTTAGGGTTTTAGGGTTCAGGGCTTAGGGGTTTATCCCAATAAGGAACCAGCAGCAGGACTCTCGGATTGGCATGTTGGTCAGAGAGGGGAAGGCAAGATGGGGCTAAGCTTGAAAAACTTTGATGCCCATGGGGTCATGTGAGAGTTTCTCAGCATGATCCCTAAGCCTAAACCCTAAACCCTAAACCCTAAACCCTAAACCCTAAACCCTAAACCCTAAGCCCTAATCCGCAGGGGCGACCTACAATTTTTGTTATACGTTCTGTATATTCCAAGTGTGCGGTGGGGACTCCATGTCACCCATGTTCAGGGACTCTCATGCAAGTACTGTAGCTGCACAACATGTTGATTTCCTGGCATGCTCACAATTCGCAGCACAGTCCAGCTAATTCAGATCTCGTGGTATGCTGTGGAGTGCCGTGTCGCGCGAATCACTTGAGAGCTCTTAAGACTGGGTGATGCCTAGAGCCCACAATCCCCAAATATGTCGCCGTTCAAAAGAAAAGAAGTACCTTTCAACCGCACCAAAGCAAGCCTGCATTGGGAACCTCAGGAGTTGCTGGGTAGACAATTTACATATGTATAGGGATCCTCATTGATATGCGTAATCACCCCCCACATCATTCTAGCTCTCCCGGCCCGCCAAGTACGGCATCATAAGCCCCATCCATGGCTTCATGAAAGGCAGTGTGAGGTAGGATTACTTTAAAGCTTTGGTGCATGTATGTACATAGGGCTCGTTTAGAAAACGGGTGAATGTACGTGTGGTCTTAAACGCAAAAGGGATCATCCTGGGGATGACTATGGGGAGTCTAGGGCTGATGGTAGGGATCCTAGGGATGATTATTGGGGTTCTAGGAATGGTTGTAGCTGTTAGAGATGATTCTAGGCAGGATGATCAATGGGATTTTGGGTATGGTCCAAAGGATTTTGGGGGAGGGTCACAGGGAGGATGATAGGGATCCGCTTCATCTCCCTTAATCCAGTAAGTTGACTGTGGGCCATAGGGGAGGTCGCGAGGGGCCAAAGTGAAGGGTGATTCTGCTCCCGCTCTCCCTCTCTCTCTCAGTATATACACATACCGTTTATACACGCACGCTTATCATAGTACTTGATATAGAAGGGTTAGGCCGCCGCCCAAAATAGCGGTATACAAGGAGCATTCAGGGACGCGAGATTCTAACATAATCACCGGCATCTCTCGTAGTCACTGTTGGTGGATGGGGGCCCAACCTCATGTAGAATCCCTGTAGATACTTAAATCAAGCTTGAAGCAGTTCCGCAGAACGAACATGTACACTTCATCCGAGCTACTGCCAATATTAGGCTTACTGAGGGACCCCAAGTAGTGGACACAGGGGTCCCTCTTGTGGTTTAGTACGGTCCCCAGTATAGCCCCCCCATGTCCCTTAATTGCCTGCGTAATAATGACTGTAACTCATTCGGGTTGGAGGGTAGTCGGCCTGCGGGTGAGTGGATGCCTTTGTGAACCTACAGCACATGGCACACGGTACAACGCATGACATCGCTGTTTCGGGTTGCGGGCTTCTGGACGTTCTTAATCCCAAGCCCTGAATTCTGAATCCTGAAGTCTAAGCTGTGCAGTATACCCCAAACATGGTACCATGATTTTGGGAACCCCCCACATCCCCATTATCGCACGCCCGGCAGGTAGAGAAGGCATTGACGTTGGCACCGGCCTCAATCTGACAGTCCTCTTTGCATCGTGTTTTGAGGTTCTATGCTAGCATTGAGGAGTAGACACCATGTCTGCTATTTATTCCCTCTGAAAGCCCTGCATCATACCATATGGTACCTATAGCTTACAACTCCTATAAAGGAAGCCTGTTGGGGTGCTTTTGTTACTTCCTGGGTAACTGTGGAATACAATTTCTAATTTTCAGTATACTAGGGCTGTATAAGGCATATACATTCTAGTTGTTCACGGTCTCCCATTGTTTTTGGGGAGTTCAGGGAGCGCTTGTGAGCAGGTATGCGTACAAGCCCTAGAGGTCACAGAGTGACCACAGTTATCCGGGCGATGAACTCACTTAATTGCTAAGCACCCCTGACTTCCCTAGACCCTGCTTTATTTAGGCTTCCTCAGTTCCAAACATCAAACATTTTGGAAAGCTTTCCGCTTGGTTCCGTCGACCTTGCGGTTGCCATCTCCCTTGATGACTGGGGGTCTCACGGGCTTGTGGGTGTGAACATATCCGCTTGGGCAGAAGGCAAGCGAGATGATTCCTGTCGCTGCCTCGCTCCCTGCACACCTTGCGCCCTAAACCAGAAACAGCCTGGTAGCTTCCATTGCTGCTTTCTCCCAAACTGTCAGTATGAGGGTTACCAAGAAACCACTAAGAGGGTTTTTT